AATTTCCTTTTGACTTGAAGTTTGGGAGCTCTCCTTGGCAGATTTGGCTGGCTGATCTGGGCGGCCATGGCAGATTCCAGGTCCTCATTCTCTTTTACAACTTTCTTCTCTTCAGATTTTTTGGTGAGTTGAGGAGGAGTCAGAGCAGAGATATTCGCCATAACATCAAGGAACCGAGGATGGAAGTAGTCTCGCCACCAACTTTTGTAAGAAGAAGTGCAGCTTGGTCTGAATGGAGGGTTTGGTAGGATCAATGTTTGCAGAGTTTTGGAGATGTCAACAAGTTTGGTAACCAAAATCTTTGAATCCCCAATTATAAACCGAAGAGGATAGCTGTAGTTGAAGGAAAATAGTGGCGGGAATGGTATGTCTTGGCAGTATCCTAGCTGCCGACAGAATTGGTTCAGTGCATAGAGTTCCATGCCGCATCTAGAGTTGAGAGTGTTCAAACTACAGCCAACAGGCAAATCTCGAGAGGTCACACAAACAGACCAAAATGCTCTGAAATCTGGGGATCGGATATCGGCCCTGTACCATGAGGGACTGTGAGATCTGCCAAGAAACACAGCAAAGTCTGCATCGGGTTGGTCAACAAAAAGAGAAGCAAAAAACTGGAAGCACTCCTCAAAGCTTTTCTTGTTTTCCACGGCATTCTTGAACATGAAGCCGTAGGTGAGTAGATCCCGGGCTGGAACAGCGGATGAGACAGAAGCTAGGGCTGGAAAATATGAATACAACCACAACTGCAAAACCCAAAGCGGCCCACCACTAATGACTAAGGGGTGAGCCGCGATATCTTGGCAACTCCTGTACAAATGAGCAAGCAAAAAAGGACCCAAAGCCATTTGTCTACCATACGCTAAAGCAGCAGCTAAAGGAATAAACTCTTTAGTGGGACCTTTACCAGCAGAGCAGACTATATATTTGCAAATCAAAGTAAGCAGAAATGAAATATGTTCATCAGCACTGACAGGCTTACTTTTATCATAACAGACCTCACAAAGGCTGGATAAGAAGGTTTCAACTCTGCATTGTACTCAACGCCTGGAGGCAGGGTTAACGATGCTGAAATTTCTTCTCCAGTACAGGGCAATCCGGTTAACGAGCTGACATAAAAAAGGCTCACAGACATGGCTCCACAGGGAAAATGGAAACAATTAAAAGAGCCAGACCAAAATAACAAAGCCGCACCTAAAACTGGCTTGTCCATGGTGAATCTGCATTTGGTGAGTTGTATAAATTCAAACAAGCCTGCATCTCTCCAAATTTGACCAAAAGCAGGTTCCAGACGGTTTATCCAGTCAGTCCATTCTGATTTTCTCCAAACCGGCCAAGCACCAAAAGAGCCAATCCATTTATTCCAGTCTGGAAGGGGAGTAGATGTCCTTTGGGCTGTGGGTAAATGGAGGCAAGAGAGGCCGGTGGATGAGACACAAAAGAAGGACCCAAAATCTGAGATTTTTTGTGAGGAACAAAAGTTTGGTTTGAATGGCATGGCTTCTGTTTTTGGAGTATCCTGTTCATATCATCTTGAAGATTTTGGTCTCGGAAGAGTTTAACCAAATTTGGTGGAGGTGATATCAAGCAATGAATGGCCTTTGGACCGGCCATGGAAGCAGATCCGGTGGGCATGGATTGCCCTTCTCGGTCATGAGCCATGGAGATGATTTTGGCAAGGGAAGGCTGTTCGGTAGTGGGACACAAACCGGACACAAGCCGGACAGACCTGCACACATAAGAAAAAAAAAGAAGAAGAAGAAAGGCAGTCAACCAACAGTCACAAGAGGATTTTCGGCAGTGGGAGCCACCGGACATGAGTAAGACAGTTTTTGTAAATGAAGTGTAAAAGAAAAATAGTCGACAATTACCTGTGAAGCAAGAAGAGTCTCCGGGGGGACCACCTAGCAGATCTGGACAAACAAGCAAAAGAAGAGAGTGCAGCCGGCAGTTGATCTGGAAGTTGAAAGAAGTGGGTTGCTGTTTTGGGTAGATCTGGGAAGCAAGAAAAAAAATTGAAGGAAAGGGGCCGGTTGTGACTGGGAGAAGCTTAGATGTTACAAGTTGGGTAGAAATATGGAAGCTATCTGGACAAACAAGCAAAGGAAGAGAGTGTAGCCGGCGGTGAAGTTGGCCCCTGGAGGTTGAAGAAGGTAAAGTAAAGTTAGTTTTAATTTTCAAAGAGTCCCTGCCTTTGGGATTTGTTTTGAAAATTAATAGATTTTACTTAAAATGGAGGAGACTTTTCAATGGGGCCACTGACGTAGAAATAAAAATAAAAATAAAAATAAAAAAAAGGTAAGTTCGACTTCTCCTTACTTTTTGGGTTTTGGAAAATTAAATGAATTTTAAAAGGAGTGGCTGGGATTTATCTAGAATATTGCTTCAGGAGATATTTGTGAAGTTGCTTTTAAAGGGGATTTGACATGTGGCATAAGTAATTATGGTGTGGGAGGTAATTTATTTAATTAAAACACTTGGATTTATCTTAATAAAACCAAGTGTTGGGGGCATTGTTTACACCATAAATTGTAAAATTTTAAATTGATGCCACGTGTAAAATTTTTATTGGCTGGAGGAGTTTGAGCCATGTCAGATTTGAATTCTGGGCCCCATGACAGATCAGCACATGTGTTGGCAAGATAGGAGAGGTAAAGATAATGTTTTATGGAGTAATTATCTTCTTGAAACAGAAAGAGATAATGGCAGCTGGAAAATAGGAGAGGATCACAGTTAAAAAGGGATTTTATCTAATAAAGTACAGGTGGCGAAATCTGAAAGGGGATTAGACTAGGTCAAAAGGTGAGGTGTCCCACTACTCCAACAAACTACCCATGATTGAGTAACTGCCAGCTCAAGAGGAACAAAAAGGAAACTTTCGCAAGAGGAACACACGGCCAGCCTTACTCAAACATCTGCAAATTTTCATACTTTGATTTTCTCTGCACATGCTTCCAGATTTCAGATTTTCAGCACAGATTTCGGATTTCAGCACAGATTCCATTAGAATTAGGTTGTTTTTCATCATTCCAGTAGACAAATTGATTCCTATATTCAGTTAAACAATTTCCTTTCATGCAATGAACTTCAATCCTTCAAGTTTATGCAAGGTATTGTTTTCTTTTCATTTGTAATTAAT